ACATCGATCTCGGATGCAAAGCCTGATGCCCCAGTGATGGTGCCCCACACCCGCCACTACGCCATGTTCGACTTCCAGCAAATTTCTGTTTATTTTTTGGGATTTGAACCCCGTAACCATGTGTGAAGCGGGCCTCTTGCCACTACGCCATCTCCGCAAGAGAGAGAAATACTGGAGAGATAAGAGTAGGTAGAAAGTAATGGTAAGATATCAATAGGATTCTATCCCGTGGTCATCTTCCTAGACGTCTGTGGCAATCCTTTGAAACCATGGACACATTTGTAAGTGTAGAGGACCTCTACTAGCTTGCAGATATCAATCAGTTCAAATTGGATTCTTTTTCCTTCTGGTATCTGACCAATTGGATTCTTTTTCCTTCTGGTATCTGACCATTCAGCGGTAGGGAGCATATTAGTTATGGGAGGGTTTCGATGCTTGAATTGCGGTGCAGCACCGCATCTTGTCCCCTTAGTGGTGGCCATGGACGGGCTCAGACGCAGCTTCCACGCCATCGATCGATATTGCCGATTGATTGCCGGGGTATTTCGAAAGACTTATGGCGCTGCAAACGGGCCGTCGGGGAGCAGCAAAAATTTCTCTGCTCGTCTGGGTCCTCTCACTGAGACAGCGTTCGTGATGTATGGTGGTGACTGCTGACGTTATAAAGCGATCGGGTACAGAGGATAGCTCTAATCTTATTTCGTGACTGGCAACACGGCTTAAGAAGTGGGGTTACAATTACTCGAGAAGGCTTTCTGGGAAACTGAAGGGGACCTGTTTTTGGTAAAAAAAGTTGTGCAAATGCACGTTAAGCACTGGTACGTACTCCTTCCACTGTTCCCGCGTCTGATCTATAGCACTTGTTTATAGTGAGGGTTCTGTGTTCTTGCGCCGAGATGGCGTGAGGCGCTCGCGGCATTCACTGGGCGTTGGAGTGTAGGGGCATTGGTGGATTACGGTAATAACCGCGAAGCCGCTGTCAAATGCGTGAATGCGATCGTGGGATTTGGGTTTAGAGACCGCCACCCGATTGAGATCAGACTGAGGCACTTTCAGACCCAGGAATGAATGTTACTCCGGAATAGCAGTAATGGGAATCAGTTATGAATGATATCACCAAAAAAAAANAAAAAAAAAGAATATTCAAGAGGGGTTAAAACTGATCGTGAAAGCCAATGTTCTGTACCCGATCCCGGATAGCGATATCTAAATTTCAAGTTCGCAGGTTGGGTGACGAAAGATCTAGGAATTCTGAACGAGCTCACCTTCTCGCATGGCATGCCAGAAACGTGCCGATCTATCCCGATCACCAGCTCCAGCAGCACCAATGGCTACAGCTAATCCTTTTCGTGCTTCGGACATCCGCAATACTTGTCGTAGTTGGTGAAGAATATCGGCGAACGACAGGGTATTACCACCTGTACGTGTGTGCACTACAAAGGTCTGGAAAAATAACTTTATCCCAAATGGAAATAGGAAATATTTTTTTTACAAAATTAGGGTAAAAGTTCTGAATGGCAGGTATACCTGATTTCGGGACATAACAAGGATGTGCTCATTTTCATGATTTCGTCTCGATTTTGAAAAATGCACATCTTCATCGATTTCGGGTTGCCTGGAAAATCCCTTGCAATATTTTGGTATCATTTTCTCGTCTACGTAAGGTAGAGCTCACCTATAACAGCCCAAGATTCTGTCATACTGCTGCATACACATATGGACTTTGACTTTTCCAGTTGAAATCTCCCGTTCCAACTGCTTTCTGAAAGTAGCCACTGATAGTTCTAATAAAATTTCGTCTGAAGACGCCGGTGACACCGCTTCATGGAGGAGAAGGGCTCAAAAATTGGCCTTAATGGGAGTTTTAGGTTACAACAATCCTCAGTATGTTTACGGTGATAGTGGCATCCCAAAACAGTTCACAGGTTTCCAGGACATAGACGTGATCCTTCTTCGAGAGGGGAGCTGGAAGACATCATAGCCACGTAGACAAGCCCGGAGGAATTTTCTTTTGAAAAATCCGTTTTATTTGGTGGTTCTGTTGCTTTTTTTCATCACTGGGAGATGATTTTGCCATCCTGTGAACGTCTCATTGACTCCCTATAAAAGAGGGTACCCCACTGTCCAGATAAATGAACAACTCACGTGTCAATTTTGTTTTTGTACTCCACAAATCCCCTGATCAGAAGCGCTGTGTACCTGGAAATGAATGANAGTTAACCCCGAAGGGAATGCCCATCACCTCAGCCAATCATCCTCTCCTTCAAAACGTTGCTGTGGAAAAATATATGCAGGGCTCACGTTCACTGGTAATGGTAATCGGATTCGTAGATACATCTCGGGAAGCCAAAACTGATTGATCTGAAATTATCAGATTTTTAGGAATCCCATACGCATGGTGTTTGATAGGTGACTTACTTACCCAGTTCTCCTCGCTCTCAGCCAGTCGGAGCAACCTTTGCTGATAAATGAGACCAGTTTTTCTGAAATCATAGACGGCTCTTTGGGTTCTCTGAAGTGGTTGATGACGTCCTTCGGCGACTACCTCGGCATATTCGATATAGCGATCGAGGGTGTGGTCCAATGACGGGATCGGGGGCTTGGGAAGAGCAACCTAAACTAGAAATGATTTTCAAACTCATTCCGTAAAAGCGTTATTCAGCCTTCTTATTTTGCTCAAAAATCTTACTTTCAACTCTCTTGCTGCTCACAAGTCATCCAGTTCGAGGTTTTTACAATCCAAATTTGGGGAATATCATTATTCTAACTTTATGCAGAATTACGGTAGCGTAGTGATTCCACCCTTATCTGTGGATGGACGTTAGGTTCTAATTCGTGACAACTCGCCCGTGCGAATTGTCTGTCTTTGATAGTGGTCTTACGACATCAAACTGTTAGCATTGTTCACTGGCAGCGCTGAACCTTCAACTCCCCCTCCTCATTCCCGACCCCACCCACGCATTAATCGATGGGGCGCCAATTTTCAAACCTGCCCGGTACATTACGCGCCCAACCATCTTCCCCCCTTACCGTGCTTTTTAATCAATTTGGCAGGGAATTGGAAAAACTGGGGCTTTGCAAGTGAAACTGATTATGACTTCATCGTTTTCTGATTTCAACGGGATATCCAATTTATTCATAGAGGCAGGCAATTCCGTGAAGAGATGGTGCCGAAAGCAGTAGAAATAGGGGTAAAAAAATAGTATAAATATCTAAACTTTCTTATTACAGTAACCCTATGCTCGTTTGGAAGACAATCTATTCAAAACTTACGAAGCCACACGTGACAATATTTTAGGTATTTTTGCGTTGTTAAAAACAATAACATGGTCTCTCATAAGTAACTTATACAGAAATGTTCATGAATTAGGGGCGTCCCCGCCGAAGTTCGTGACTTAATTGACCGGGCAATCACAAAACCTCCTGCACGCGGAATGGGGGGGGGGGGGGG